GGGTGAATAAAGTCACCCAGTCGCTAGCTGTGCCATTACCCAGCATGCATCACTCCCTCCATCAATGCAGTAACCGATACAAAAGTAATAGCCTATAATTAATTTATCTGCTGTATCTGCTGTTTCTCAGGTAGTTGTTTACATTATATAATTTATTGTGTTCAGTATTTGTCACTGCAATGTGATTTCGGAAATATATAAATATACGGACAACAGGCTCATCTTGTCTCTTGTTCAATCTCTTGTTGTCATTAAACAATGTTTAGGGGGCTCTATTGTATTCAATCGGATCCTGCATGTTAATTTTTGACGCGAGGGGGGTACCCTGTGTGTCGATAAGTGAAACAGAGGGAGCTTGACCATGCGTCCATATATGACCAGTTAGGAGTGAGAACGTGTTGATGTAGCGTGTAGTGGAGGTGGAACTCTTTTCTAAAGCTTTTCTAACATCAGCTACAATCACACTGGGGCCTCCGTGGTTTGTGACACTGCTCTACATTGATCGATTTCGCGACAGTTTGCATAAGTACACAGTTGCGACTGAGGCCCTGATCAAATGTTCAAATAAAGTGATCATCTTCTGTCTCTGTTTCATCTCAGTGAGTGATGAGGGTCTAACATGAAGTCACAGCAGTGCTCTCTGGACCAGATGTGGCTCACTTTTTACACATTTGTACAGCTTTTGGGAAGTCAGGTTGCTGCACTCATCAATGCATTTGACTTCATCTTCGGGTGTGTGTGAGAAACCAACTGACCATAAACTGTTGAACTCCATGTCAGTGAAACAAAGACATTTTTGTTATTTGGGTGTGTCAGAGATGTGAATGTTTCTGTGCTTCTCTTTACATTTCCCTTAAATACACAACTTTGTGTGTGTGTGTGTGTCACTGACTCAACTGTCATCCCCTTTTCTCCTGTACAGCTAGTGCACATCTATAAAGGAGAATCAGAAAAATAAAACATTTTTTTGCTTTAAAGTTGTTACACTTGTGTGATGATAGTAAAGAGTCTGAAATCTTTGTTCCTAAATAGAGAAAAAATAAGACTTTTATTTCAAATGACTTTTTTATTAAAAACAA